TAAATTGATCAGTGGGATCTGTTTGGTAGCTCTGTTAGGATTTGGGGCATGCTGTTGTGATTAGGCTGTGTGCTCAGCCAGTCACTGTCTCCCGGGAGAGATTTAGATACAGGCAGAAAGCGTGCGGCTGTGCCATGTTCATTTCATTAAGCTACTTTACACACATGACAGGAAATCTGCAAGTCCAGATTTCCAGAAGCCCACACTATGGATCTTCAATGTGACCTCTTCCAAATGGCACAAATAAAGCATTTCAAAAAACATTACATTTCTAGCTATACTTTTTAAATGTTACCTTTATGTATATGTGCCTGCTGTCTGTATGTTCACTATGTTCCTGCAGATGTCCATGGAAGCCAGAAAAGCTCGTTGGAGCCTCGATTTATGGGAGGAAAATGGTACTGAAACACACAAATAAATGTTTAGTTTGCTCATAAGAATAACCGGGGCAGGTGAGATGACTCAGCAATTAAATACTAACTGGCTGCTGTTCCAGAGGACGCAGGTTTAATTTACAGCATCCATATGTGGATCATACCTCCAGTTCTAGAAGATCTGACACCCTCTTTTAACCTCCATGGGCACCTAGGACCAAATGTGGTGCAGGATAAACACAGTATTTTTAAGAGCCAAACTAAAGCCATGCTGACATACTTGATAACCTATCAGGATGCCAGATACAACCCTTGATAGAGAAGCACATCCTGTGTGCCCAGTGCTATTCAGAATCCTCGAACCTGCAGAAACCCAGGCTGAGTTGCCTAGAAGTGAAGGCCACCCGGGAGCTTAAGGTAAACTTCCTCTCCTGCTCAGCTCTAGCACGGGTCTCACACTTTCCCCTCATCTCCAGTCTCCAGCTTTTCTGTTTATTTTTCTTAAGACAGAGTCACACTGTATAGACCTGACTCTCACAGAGACCCCTCTGCTCCTGCCTCCAGAGTGCTGGATGAGTGCAATTTTATGAGGTTTATATTTATTTTGTTGTTTTTGTCACTTGAGGCAGGGTCTTTTCTCATAGCTACAAAAAACCGTACCTCAACCAAACCAATTCAAAGGGAAGACTTTTATTTTGGTTCACTGTTTGAGGGCATACGGTCCTTCCTGGACTAGAACACAGTGTCTGTGGTCAGTCAGTCTTTAACTGGAGGAGAAGTGGGAGGAGGCAGTGGCTCCTCACAGCTTTGAACTGTGAAGCAGAGTGAAGACTGAAAGCAGGGCCCTGGGAGCATGGAGAGGACTAGAGGAATGGACCCGCAAGAGCCCTCAAAGGCTGGCTCCCAGTGGCCTACATCTGCCAGCTAGGCTACATGTCTCAAAGTTTCCAAAACCTCCAAAAATAGTGGCACTCCAACTGGTGATCAGGGTTCAAACACATGAACCTGTGAGAGATGGTGCAGCTTCAAACCGTAACAGTGTGCTTATTGTGAGATTCCCAGCATCCTACTCTGCCCTGATGAGAACTATAGTTATCACTGCAACTTAAAGAGATATTCTGAAGACTGCGTCCATCTTTGTCAAAGCTCTACCATTAGATGCTCCTCAAGAACAAAGAGTCTTCATGACAGAAGAGGGACAGTTTCAACTGCTTTTTGCTGTCCTCTCCTTCCACTTTACGGTCTGAGGATTGAGCTGTCTGTCTGACTTGTGCAGAAAGGCTTTTATTCATTGAGCCATTCCACCAGTGCATATTCCTGATTTTAAACTGATGGGTTGGTTTGTTTGTTTGTTTGTTTGTTTTTTCGTTTTGTTTTGTTTTTCTAAGAGTCTCAGGTTGCTCCAGCTGGCCTTCAGCTAAAGCTCAATGTTAGCCAAATCTAATCTTGAACTCCTGACCCTTCTGTTTCTACTTCCCAAAGGGCAGATTATAAGCATTACTATGTTCTTTTTTTTTTCTTTTTTTGCATTGATTGATTAATTGTGTATGTGTGTATGAGAGAGAGATAATGTGAAGGTCAGAGGACAATCTGTAGGGATCAGTTCTTTACCTCTTCCAAGTGGGTCCCAAGGATTAAATGAAGGTCATCAGGCTTAGTAGTAAGAGGCCTTTATCTGCTGAGCCATCTCACTGGGCCAGATGTTATTCCCTTTTGAGTTATACTCAGTAAATACAAATCTTTAGAAGTTAGTAACTCAATGGACTAATATATGCCCATTCTATATACAGCTACAACCTACTCCACATTGAACATCTCCCTAGAAAAGGTTCCACTAAGCAAGATGACATCAGACTAACCCTAACACTTCTGAAGTTGAGGCAGAATGGTTTCTGTGCATTCAAGGTCAGCCTGGGCTACATAGCAAGTTCAAGAACTACATAACAAATTCAAGGTCAAACAAGGAATGTAACTTATGGTAGAGTGTCTAGCCATTGTAATGACCTCAACTTCAACATTGAGCATCATAAAAAAAAAAAATCCCCCCACTTCTCCCTTCTCCCTCCAGTCAGTACATCTATCTAGTCTTATAAACTTTAGCCACTCTAGTGATGGGTAGCATCCCATTATGCCAATGTAACTTTCTTTAACTTTTAAAATTTTGTGTGTGTGTGTGTGTGTGTTAGAGAGAGAGAGAGAGAGAGAGAGAGAGAGAGAATATGCATATGAGTGCAGGTGCCTGCAGAGTCCAGAAGAGGGTGCTGGAGCACCTGGAGCTGGAGTTACAGGCAGTTGGGATCTGTCCAATGTGGGTGTTGGGAACTGAACTTGGGTCCTCTTCAAGAGCAGCACAGATTCTTGACCATTGAGCCATCGGGGCTAAAAATGGTCCAATATAATTCACTGAAAAATACAGTACATGGCTGCTCACGTGTAAGCAAAAACTTGAGGCACCTTGTTTCTAACACATAGGAACACACACACCTCTGTGATTGCCTATATTCAGAATAGGTCACCTACATGAAAAGAAAGCAGCATGGAATAATCTGGGTGCAAGGCACCACTGTATTCTGAGGTGTAGGGGGAGACAGTAGACTCAGAAGTCTCTCCACTTCACTTCCACATAGAGAGACGAGATGGACACTTTGGAAACAGACGGAAGAGAGATCTTTCCTCAGGGCTTCTCTGTGTAACCCTAGCTGCCCTGGAACTCACTCTGTAAACCAGGCTGTTTTGAACTCAGAGATCTGCCTGCCTCTGTTTCCCAAAAGCTGGGAATAAAGGAGTGTACCACCACACCTGGCAAGATAGAAGATTCTAAGAGGAAAATCATGGGACGGTGAGATGGATTCTGTGGGTAAGGGCACTTGCTGCCAAGCGTGAAGACCTAAGTTCCATCCCTGGAACCCACATGATGGGAGAAGAGAACAGACTCCTGCACCTGACCTACACACACACTCAGAAAACAAAAAAACAACTGTGTCACGTGGGTGCCCCCCCAAATAAGTACATGAATACAGAAAAATAATGAAACAGCTTCAAATGATTTGGACTCTCCAACTTAGAGCCCAATCACTTAAAATAACTAAAATTCCCATTTAGACTCTAACCAAACAGTTAATTTCTCCCATAACAAATGTCAACTAGCTCCTGAAGTTGCTCCTTGACCTTTTTGGTATGTGTAAGAGCTTATATGTGTATGGTATATGCACATCCACATACCATGCAGGCACAGTGTGTGCAGAGGCTGGAGGAGGACATTAGGTGTCCTGCTCTACCCCTTTCCACCTTATTCCTTTGAGACAGAGTCTCTCTGAACCCGCAGTTAGACTGCTGGTCCGTGCCCCCATTAGTGCTTGGGTTACAGACCACACTTGACCACCTAGCTTCTTAACTCGGCTGACCATACCCCATTTTTCCAAGAATTTCTGGGACCTTTAATTCAGGCTCTCCTGCTTAAGGAGTAAGAACTTTTAGTTCCTGGGCTATCTCACCAGCCCTTCCCCAACACTTGCCTTTAATAGAGACATTGAGACTATTTGCTGACCCAGACTACTGTCCCCAGCAAAGCTACCTGTTACAACCAAAGGAAAGATAAACACGTTCCATTATGAACACTGATTAAAGACTTGATCACCACCTAAGAAAATCCTTGGAGGAATTCTTCAGACTGAAGAGAAAAATTAATCCATGAGGCTGCAGGGGAAAAAATAAACCATACTAGGATAATAGCTAAGCAAGAGAGAAAGTGGGCAAAAACAAACCCTGCAAAATTAAAAAGTTTTAAAAACTGGGAGGAGTCAACATACGCTTTTTAAGAAAAACTCTAAATATTAATGATATCAATTCTCCCAGTGAAAAGACAGAATAGATTAGATTTAAAAATAAATAATAAAGGCACCATCTGTTTGCTGCCTCTAAGAAGGGTACCTTATCACAAAAGACAGACATCTGTAGGATGAAAGACTAGAAAATGTATTTCAAGCAACTGGACCTAGTCAGCAAGCAGGTGTTGCTGTTCTGATATCTGCTGAAACAGACCTCAATCCAGAGCCAGGGAGAAGAGAGAAGGGCCAAATGAACTAGTCAGCACGAGGACTTCACAACTCTAAGCAGGTCAACTCCAAATAGGTGCACTCGCTTTCATGAAACAAGTACTACTAGGTAATGCCAGCACACTATAGTCAAACCTACTACTTTGTCAGATGATTTAAAAAATACGTTTTCCCCAACATAATTTTATTATTCGTGAATTCCATACAATGCTCCCCAGTCACACTTGCTTCCCGTTCCTCCCAGATCCAGCCTTCCATGTTTGTGCTCTCCCCCGGCTCCCGCCTGAAAGAAAAATATACTCAGTCCAATTTCTGTTACCCGCATATATTCTCATTGGAGCATGGTCAAACTCAGTGGCCAGCCCCTTAAAGAAAGCAGTCCTTCCCCATTCCCACCCCCAGCCAGAAGCCATCAACTGTGAGGAGCTATAACTTCAGCATCTTTATCTCAACTTTTAAGGACTCTTCTATAGCTTCCTGTCTGAACTGAGTTTTTGGTGGTGGTGGGGGTCACAAAAGTCTTCAATGTCTCTCATTCTCAGATACACATCTGCTACAGTCATCAATACCAAAAAACATGGAACCCTTCACAAATTTGCTCGCCATCCTTGTGCAGGGGCCATGCTAATCTTCTCTGTATTGTTCCAGTTTTAACATATGTGCTGCTGAAGGACCAACATACATTTAAAAGCGGTTTGAATGGAAAAAGATGGACAATGACATTCCTTGAAGGCATGGGCTATGCAACAGATTTCTCAGGAATACATTCTTCCATGGCTTGGTGTGCTGGCTAGTTTTATGTCAACTTAATGCAAGTTAGAGCTACTTGGGAAGGGAGAACTAAAGTGCTCCCATCAGGTTAGCCTTTGGGGAAGCCTATGGGGTGTTTTCTTAATTAATGATTGATGTGGGAGAGCCTATGGGTGGTGCCACTCCTGGGCTGGTGGTCCTTGTTACTTCTAAAAAAGCAGGCTGAGAAAGCCATGAGAAGACAAGCCAATAAAAACTCTTCCATGTGCTCTGCATTAGTCCCTGCCATCCGGTTTCTGCCCTGCTGGAGTTCCTGTTCCAACTTTTTTGGATAATGGACTACAAGCTATATAACATAAAACAAACCCTTTCCCCAACAACTTGTTTTCTTCTTCTTCTTCTTTTTTTTTTTTTTTTTTTTTTTTGTCACATTTTATGACAGCAGTAGAAACCTGAAGATGTTTGAGAAACTGCCTCCTGAACTGGCCAGAGAATCTAGCTGGCTGGAGAACCAGGAAGAATCAGGAGGTGGAGATGAGAAGCCAGCCTAGTGTTGGGTGGTGGTGGTGGTGGTGGTGGTGGTGGTGGTGGTGGTGGTGCATGCCTTTAATCCTAACACTTGAGAGGCAAAGGCCAATGGATCTCTGCAAGATAGAAACCAGCCTGGTCTACAGAGTGAGATCCAGGACAGCCAAGGCTACACAGAGAAACACTGTCTCAAAAAAATACAAACAAACAAACAAACTGGTCTAGTAGCAGACAGGTCTTGACAGCCTCTGCCTCGCCAGAGTTTTCAATACACTACACAAATTCCAGTTATAGGAGGAAAAAATGCAATTGCCAAACACCTGAGGAAGAAAACTCAGCCTGGCAATCCTGGACATGTTAGAGTTGCTGAACCTTGGGCCCCATTCTGGGCTTACTGAGTTGAGAACTGTGCACCTTATCAGTTCAAAACACGTGAGTTCACGCCCCTGGTCATCTTCTCGGAACATGCGGAGGAGCTGATGACATGATAAGCATAGAGGAAGAGTATGGACTCGGAGAGCTCAGAACAGCAGCCTCTGAGTGCTGGCTGGCACAGGCCGGTCTTTGCCAGGCTCCCTCTCATATTCACACTTATGCTGCAGACAGAAGATTCATGCAGGCCCTGGGACAGCCCCACCCCACCCCCAGGCAATCTGAATTTTTTTCAAAGGCTGCCATCATCTAGACATCCTGAGAGAAGCTTTGCTGTCAAACATTTGATCCCTTTTAACTGCTGAGGGTTAGAAACCTCATTTTTCTTCCTTTCTTATATAACTTGTTGGACAATGGTGGCACATTAAGCCAGCAGCTGCTTCTTGTCCTTTTCTCAGTGTGCCTCTCTCACAGGAACAAGCTGTAGATTTCTTGCTGTATTAAGGGGATGATAAAGATGAAAGTTCTGTCTTGAATCCAGGTGCCAGGGACAAAGAAAGAACCTGGCTTTGATAGTGTAATGGCTCTGAAATAGAAAAGGGGGACACACAGATGAGGCCCATGGCAGTTCAGTCTCCAAGTGGGTTGCCTAGGGAGCAGGGGCTGTATCTGATGTGAACTCAGTGGTGGGCTCTTTGATCACCTCCCCCTGGGGTTGCAGCCTTGCCAGGCCACAGAGGAAGATGATGCAGCCACTCCTGATGAGACCTGATGGGCTAGGGGGAGGAGGACCTCCTCTGTCAGTGGACTAGGGGAGGGGCTTAGGGTGAGAAGGAGGAGGGGTGGGGCTGGGAGGAGACAAGGGAGGGGGCCACAGCCAGGATACAAAGTGAATCAATTGTAATAAATAATAAATAAATTTAAAAAAAAAAGAAAAGGGGGTCACAAACTCAGGAGAGGCCAAGACTGGCAAATCCTCTTTTGTCACCTGGCCTACCTTGACCAGGGCCTTAAAGGCCAACTGTGGAAATTTCATGATTCTCCTGGAAGTCCTCCACCGATACCCAGAGAGACTCTGTTGAGAGGTGAGGCTGGTGGGTTGCTATCCTTGGTCCTGAACCATCGCTGTTCGTTGGGGCAGCAGTTGACTTTGTCACTGAAAATCGTAAGCAGCAGAGAGGCATATTAATTTGTTGAAAAGCCTGGCCCCCAGACAGTCTGCCTCAGAGGGTCACTGAATTCCTTTATATGCAAGATCCCAGGCCTAAAAGTTTGGCTCAGTTGATAAAATGTTTCCTGGGCAAGCAGAAGAACCTAAGTTTGGATCCGAAGAAAAAAATGTGAAAAATTAAGGTGTGGTGGTAAAGCCTTGTGATCCCAGTACTGTAGAAGTGGAGACAGAGAATCCCTAGAAATCAATGGACAGATTGATTTCTGGCCAAATCTGTGAGCTTCAGTTTCACCGAGAGATGCTGTCTCAAAAAAGAAAGTGGAGAGAAATAGAAGACACGAGACATCAACCTCTAGCCTCCAGATACATGGTACATACATGGGAAAATGCACCACACACACAAAAACATACACACACAAGAATCCATTAATCATACTAAAAAAAAAATGTAAAAAGTGGGTCAGTGGTGACACATGCCTTTAATCCCAGTACTTGGGAGGCAGAAGCAGGAAGATTTTTGAGTTCAAGGCCAGCCTGGTCTACAGAGTGAATTCCAGGACAACTACAGAGAGAAACCCTGTCTCCGAAAACAAATAATAATAATAATAATAATAATAATAATAATAATAATAATAATAATTTATTAATTAACCTGAAAAACAAAAAGGAAGAGCCCAGAGGCATCTTGCCACCAGCTCGTATCTCCCAGCCATCACTTGGCAAAGGCAGGTTTTCTGCTTGTACCTCCATGTAGTGGACAGCTGCTGCTCATTGATTTGTTTCTTGCTCCTGTTAGCATTCATTCTGTGATCTTCTAAAATGCTCCCTGGTTCTTAGCAAAGTCACCTCTTTCCACCCTTAAATTAAGACAAGAAGTTAGCAGGGAGAAAAAAATATATTTTAGGCAACTAAGGAGGTGTACACCTATAATCCAAGATCTAGGTCAGCTGAGGCAGGGAGACCTCAAATTCAAGGCCAGCCTGGGCTACATAGTAAGGTCCATCTCAAAGCAATAATAATATAAAGTAATTCTAATTTGGAGGTTATTTTCAAACGATTTGTTGCCAATGATAAACTCGTAACCAGCCTTGGCTTAGAACCCACGTCACTGAAGGCAAATGGCAATTTGACTGGGCCTAGGGAGCCAAGCATGACCAGGGTCAGAATTGCATGCATCAGTGCTTCAAGATTGTCACCTAGCTGCCCCAAGACTTTCTTCATTTTGTCTTCCATCTTGTGAAAATGCTGCTACTGTTGCTCTGCTCCCAACCACTTTAATTTCTGCAACATGGTTGGTCTTACTGAAGCTTTGTTTCAGCTGTTCGGGGTCGGTGATCCTTGAGGAGCTGAGGTAGTGACATTCCTACATCTGCACACTGAACTCAAGGCCAGCTCCCCCCTGCAGCTGAGGGGTGCACATAAACAGTACCCACATTCCCGGGAGCATTGGAGCCACACAGCAGCAGTGAAGGGTCAGTCTCTTAGGACTGAAGGGAGCAGTTCCCGCAGTGTAACCCCAGACAGAAGGTACCTCTGGGAGTAGAGAATCATAACACAAACAGCGTCAGCCCTGTCCATTTGCTTTTGAGAGAGCTCCTCAATGAGGTGGAGGAAAAGTCACAGGTGGGCATTGAATTGGGTCAATAGCAGCTTTAAGGGGAGAAGGATATGGCAGAGGTTTTCAGAGCAGAATTGATTAGGCAGAAAGCTGGGGCCCACGTGAGAGACCACCAGGAGATCTGAAAAGCCGGTGGGAAATGTGAGAGGAGGCTATTTTTAAAGATGTGAGACTGACTTCCAGAGCAATTGGTGGAAAGTGATGTACACCTGTGGTCCCAGCACCCGGACACTGCAAAGTCATTGTGTGCTTGAGGCCAGCCTGGGCTACATAGCAAATGCCAGGCATGCCAGAGCTCCCAAGACACTGCCAAACAAACAAATCGCCCATGAAACAAACAAATGAAGAAAAAGATAAAGAAAAAACAGGCCACAACCAGGTGCCTCGCTCACTCTGCCTGCAATGGCTCAGCTCCCTGTTACACCAGCACTCAGGCTAGCAGGCACCAAGGGCCACTGGCTCAACACTCTGATACTGCATAAACAAAAAGCTTTGGTGATTCTAGCCAGCAGGATATTTACATGGACTTAAAGTACCTTTTACAAGATACTTCCAGTTGCCAAAGGAGCCAGGTACAGTGGCTCTTGCCTGCAGTCTGACGAGTTGAAAGCTTGAGGCAGGGTATCACAAGTTACAGGTTAATCTAGCCTATAAGGTAAGTGGCAATCTAGCCTGAGATCCAGTGAAACCTTGTTTCAAAAACAAAACAAAAACTGCAAAGAGGAAAAGAGTATCTTTATAGTGGAAATCTGCCGGAAGCCTCCTCAGTAAGTAAACAAAGTTAACATCCATCAGTCTTGTGGTGTCAACACCCCCTGAGATGACACAGTGAGGCAGACACGGCATCATGTCTGTGGCATTTTTGTTTGCTTGTTTGTTTTTGTTTTTGTTTTTCAAGACAGGGTTTCTCTGTGTATTCTTGGCTGTCCAGAACTTGCTTTGTAGACTAGGCTGGCCTCAAACTCACATCGATCCCCCTGCCTCTGCCTCCCAGAGTGCTGGGGTTACAGGTGTGTGACACGGCACGTGGCTGTCTGTGGTATTTTAAAAAAGATTTGTGTGTATATGTATGTCTGTGTATGTGCAGTGTGAGGGTGGGGGTGGGGTTGTGTTTGTGTGTTCAAGGAGGCCAGAAGAGGCTCCAGGGGCTGGAGGAACAGGCAGTCGAACAGGCAGTCGGGAGCTGTGAGGTATGGGTGCTGAGAACCAAATTCAGGTTCTCTGAAAGAGCAGCT